AATCCTGAAACATCATCAGCTCAGACCAACTGCGGGATAATTCTCTTAAAGGTGTCCAGACGCTGTGACATGTTGGCTCGTAGGATAATATAAAATAATATATAATATGATTTAAGCTTTGGGAGTTTAATCTCAATCAATAATGATCTGGAAAAATCTATTATTTTAATTAATTTCATTTCAATTCTATGTATTTTGGTTTAGCCCTTTTTACTATATTGTTGTTTTAATCCAAATACATTAGAATATTATTAAACTGATATAATTTAAATTAGACAAATGTACAGCCCTTAATCACATCAGGAGTTACTGCAGGACTTTACAAAGCTGTCGATTCTCCGACACAGATTAGAGAATCAGAGACAGAGACCGATGTTTATAAATGTGGTTAAATGTGGTTAAATGTGGAGAGTCCTGTCGTTGTGTCCTTGGGCAAGACACTTAACCCCACTTTGCCTGAAGCCCCCACTGACAGCTCCTGTGGACTCACCACCTGCAGGAGGATCAGTGAGGGGCTGGTGCTCTGTGACTGCCACCCCCACCCAGACATGGATTAAGGGGAAGAAAAGGGATGGATGGACGTTGTACATAATACACACGCTGTCAGTTTGTAAGATGAGGCTGTGTGTAAAACTGTCCCATGGTTGAAGTATATTCTCCCTCCTCAGCACAAAGTCTGTCAAACTGAGATCTGCTGTTTCCTGCAGATTTTAGACTCATTTGATTCACTTCTTGCATCGACAGGAAATAAAATAAAAAGCTCCTGGAGGATTGTGAACGATGTCTTGACAACAGAGAGGCCCAGGAAGAGGAAGTGTGTGTGTTTACAGTGTGTGTGTTCTCACTGTGTGTGTGTGTGCTTACAGATGCCTCCATTAGACATGCATTAGTGAAATATGAACAGAGAGAGTCTTAAGAGTGGAGCAGATCTGAGCCATAAATCACCGAGACAAACACAAGGAGCCTTAAGTACTGCTGAATATTTTATTTTGAAGTGCGTTCAAGGCCTAACAGGAAATCACACACGATATCAGGAAAGCTTTGTTGGAAAGACAGAAGAAGAAGAAGAAGACATGGGAGACAGATTATGGCGAGAGAAGTGAGTCCCAGTGTGAGCCGACGGGAAGGGCCCCTCGTCTCCTCCTCTGGCTCCTGCTCTGGCTCCTGCTCTGGCTCCTGCTCTGGCTCCTCCTCTGGCTCCTCCTCTGGCTCCTCCCCAGCTCCTCCTCTGGCTCCTGCTCTGGCTCCTGCTCTGACTCCTGCTCTGGCTCCTGCTCTGGCTCCTGCTCTGGCTCCTCCTCTGGCTCCTGCTCTGGCTCCTCCTCTGGCTCCTGCTCTGGCTCCTCTTCTGGCTCCTGCTCTGACTCCTGCTCTGACCCCTGCTCTGGTTCCTCCTCCAGCTCCTCCTCTGTGTCCTCTTCTGGCTCCTGCTCTGGCTCCTGCTCTGGCTCCTGCTCTGGCTCCTGCTCTGGCTCCTGCTCTGACTCCTGCTCTGGCTCCTGCTCTGACTCCTGCTCTGGCTCCTGCTCTGACTCCTGCTCTGGCTCCTCCTCTGGCTCCTGCTCTGGCTCCTGCTCCTTCAGCTTGAGCTTTGAGCCGTCTCCAACACGTTTCACATAAACGTCCTGAATAAACAATAACCTCATACATGAAACATCAGTAAATATCAGAGGAAACATCAGAGCAGCAAGAACACAGTAAATAAATATGATTTTATCTGTGTCTCTGGAGGTTGTTCTCCTCTGAACCCGGGACTCGGTTGGACTGGTCTCATAAAAACTGTCATGTTTTATAGAACACTTTAACCCTTTGAGATTTCATGTGTTTGTTGTGACTTCTACAAAAGGTTTGTTAGTTAGTTTTCCAGTCATTCAGACCACAAAAGTCAACAAAACCCAGAGGAAGCCTACGCAGACATGGGGAGAACATGCAAACGTCACTCAGAAAGGCCCTGTTCCGACCGGGATTCGAACCCAACACCATGGAAATAGTGCAAAACCTTGTAAAGTGCAATGAACAGGGCAAAAACCAAAAGCGTTTTCTAACCCATTCTGTGCTAACTATGGTTTCTGTGGTAACTATGGTTTCTGTGGTAACTATGGTTTCTGTGGTAACTATGGTTTCTGTGGTAACTATGGTTTCTGTGGTAACTATGGTTTCCAGCATCACCGAATTCAATACGTTTGTTGGGATCCCACATTAAATAATTGTCATTTTAGTAATAATAGTTTTAGTACCAGCTTGGCCCGGATAGAACCAGGGCCAAGCTGGTACTAAAAAGGTATCTGGTACGTGTTAAACAAGGTTGGTGGAAACACTCCCAATCGGGCTAGACTAGACTAGACTAGACTAGACTAGACCCAAATATTAGGCAAAGATGAAAAGACAGGGGGTGGCACATGGACACAGCGGTTGGGGTAAGAAGGTCCTGGGTTTAATTCCACCTCCAGACAGAGCCTTTCAGTGTTTGCATGTTCTCCCCGTGTCTGTGAAGGTTTCCTCCGGGTGCTGCGGTCGTCCCTACCACTAACAACATGTTCAATGTTCTCATGTCCATGGTCTATGTGCTACATAAATAAATGTGACTTACTAACGTGACGTGTGTGTTGTCCGTGTTCTGCAGGTGTCTCTGTGCTGCTGGAGACGGGACACTGAGCGGGACAGAACCTATGGCCAACTCACTACAAGCTTCAGGTACGGCCCGCACTGTCTCCATACTCAGTTACTCTGTCAGATCCATGTGGCGTTACCATGTGGCGTTACCATGTGGCGTTGTCATGTGGAGTTACCATGTGGCGTTGTCATGTGGAGTTACCATGTGGAGTTACCATGTGGCGTTACCATGTGGCGTTGTCATGTGGAGTTACCATGTGGTGTTACCATGTGGAGTTACCATGTAGAATTACCATGTGGAGGGACCATGTGGCATTGTCATGTAGAGTTACCATGTGGCGTTACCATGTGGAGTTACCATGTGGCGTTACCATATAAAGTTACCATGTGGTGTTTCCATGTGGAGTTACCATGTGGAGTTACCATGTGGCGTTAACATGCAGAGTTACCATTTGGCGTTATCATGTGGCACTACCATGTGGCGTAACCATTTGGTGTACCCATATGCCGTTACCATGTGCAGTTACAGTACCATGTGGCGTTACCATGTGGAGTTGCCATGTGGCGTTACCATGTTGCGTTACCATGTTGCGTTACCATGTGGCATTACCATGTGGAGTTACAGTACCATGTGGAGTTGCCATGTGGCGTTACCATGTGGCGCTACCATGTGGCGTTACCATGTGGCGTTACCATGTGTATGTGTCTGAGCTGCCATATGGCCACTGTCGTCACCAGCTCAGAGCGTGACTAATCCACACAGACCAATGCTACTGTTTTATTTGAAGAAATCACTGGTTTGTCCTTCACCTGCTCCATAAAGTACACTGTAAAAAAACGATACAGTATGAGATGTATGATATTTGGTTAAATCAAGAGGTTTTGATCTTAATGTGACACATGGTGACTGTGGTAAAACCAGATTCTCCAACGAGACCAAGACATTGTTGCTTTATTTCCTCATTCCAATCGTGACATTTCTTGAATTCTTGTTTTAAGGCAGTCAAAATGTGTTCAAATTAAAATTTGAGCAATTTTTTTGCAATTTTTAATCTCTTTTTGCAGTGTACATCATAATGAGCATGAGCAGCTGCCCTCTCTCTCGTTAACAAACTGGTTTCTTCTCTTTCATGTCTTTCTTAATCGGACTAAAAATGCTTTTGGCCATGTGGTAAAACTCAGTAGCTGTCAGTGGAGACAGCTGGGTCTGGGTGAAGAAGCAGACTTTTTACATAATCTGCTGCATTTTCACACCAAGCTGCTTTCCTGTAGTTAATGCTCCACTTTCTCTCCGTTCTGCAGAAAGCACAAGGAGCCAACTCTAAACCTCCACATGACAGTTGCCCAAACGAGGCCAGAGGGAGAGTCCAGAGTCAGGAGTCGTGAAGGCTCTTTCTCTGAGCGAGTCCCGGGCTGAAAACGAGAGAACACATTCCCACATGACTCTGGTCCAAATGTAATTAAGAAATAGTGAAGAGGAAGAGTGTGAGTCAGGAGTCTGTCTGTGGTTAAGTCCATGGTTCCACAAACACTACAGGAAATACTGACCCCGAAACATTGTATAAATATATTTAAATGTATCTGAATCATTGGAGAAAACTGATCCATGATGCTCCATGTTTTACTTTACACACACACTTTAGCTTCAGGACTGATGTACCGTACAACTGTGAAAGAGCCGTGGGTCCTCACCAAAATAAATCTGTGTTTGAAGTTGAATAATAATAACGCATTCGTTTTTTATAGCGCTTTTTTGGACACATGGCTTTAGTCATTCACAGTGGAGATAAACTACTGCTGTAGCCACAGCTGCCCTGGAACAGAAGCGAGGAAACCAGTCTGTGCCATCGGCCCCTCAGTAATCATTCACACACACACCAGACTTATTCTAATGTGGGTGAAGTGTCTTGCCTAAGGACACAACCACAGTTTGGCACTTTACAGCCGCCCCACTGTGGCACCTGCTGTTCCCAGTGGTCTCCCATCACAGTACTGACAACACTCTGCTCTGCTTAGCTTCAGAAATCTGACAGGACATGCAGAAACATTTAGACGAGCCGTATACTTTTTTCTCCTGACTCAAATATCATTTATAATCTGTGGTTTGACTTCATTTGAGCAGCCCCGAAACTGGACAAATCATTATTTGTAAAGGATTATTATTGGCTGGTTTTTAGGCCGTGGTATTTGCACCGCATCAAAGTGTTGATAATTCAAAGTGTGTGTGTCTGTGTGGACAGGTCTGGGGTGGGTGAGGTGCCATAGAGTATGTTTTCTCACGTGTGTGTCCTTCCGCAGGCCGATGTGTATGACTGGGCCATGGAGCGCCTGCTGTGCTGCTGCTGCGCTGCCTGCTGCGCTGCCTGCTGCTGCTCGGAGCCGCCGCCATGACCACAGAAGCCTGTCCCAAATACTGCTCGTGCCAGAATCTGTCAGAGTCTCTGGGAACGCTATGTCCCTCCAAAGGACTCCTGTTTGTGCCTCCGGACATCGACCGCGGGACAGTGGAGCTGCGTCTGGGCGGGAACTACATCCTTCGCATCACTCAGCTCGACTTCGCCAACATGAGTGACCTGGTGGACCTGACCCTGTCGCGGAACACCATCAGCTACATTCAGCCCTTCTCGTTCGGAGACCTCGAAACCCTGCGCTCGCTGCATTTAGACAACAACCGTCTGATAGAGCTGGGGCCAGACGACCTGCGGGGACTGATCAACCTTCAACACCTCATCGTCAACAACAACCAGCTGAGCCGAGTGCACGACAAGGCCTTCGAGGACATGGCCCCTGCTCTGGAGGATCTGGATCTTTCCTTTAATAACCTTGTGTCTTTGCCCTGGGACTCTGTTCGGCAAATGATCAACCTCCATCAGCTCAGTCTAGACCATAATCTTCTGGATTACATTCCAGAAGGGACTTTTAAGGACTTGGAGAGGTTAGCTCGACTGGACCTGACCTCGAACCGATTGCAGAAACTAGCCCCAGACCCCATCTTCGCCCGTGCTCAGGACTCCATCACACTCACCACGCCCTACGCTCCGCCGCTGTCTCTCAGTCTCGGAGGAAACCCTCTGCATTGCAACTGTGAACTTCTGTGGCTAAGGAGGCTGGACAGAGACGATGAACTCGAAACCTGCGCCTCTCCACCCAACCTGAAGGGGCGCTACTTTTGGAATGTACAAGAAGAGGAGTTCATGTGTCAGCCTCCTCTCATCGTGCAGCACACTCACAGGATGCTGGTGTTAGAAGGACAGACTGCGAGCTTACGCTGTGAGGCCAGTGGAGACCCCGCCCCTATCATCCACTGGCTCTCTCCCGATGGCCGTCTTCTTGGAAACTCCTCCAGGACCTCTGTGTTCGCCAACGGCACGCTCAGCATCACCATCACCGTCTCCAAGGACTACGGGACATTCACTTGCATCGCAGCCAACGTGGCGGGCGAGTCCACGGCACCTGTGGAAGTGTCCATCGTGCAGCTGCCCCACCTGAGCAACGGCACAGGGCAGTCCACACAGCCCAAGTCCCGCCTTTCCGACATCACAAGCACCACCAGGGTCAGTAAAGGGGCCCCCAAAAGCCCCCCGGAGAAGGAGGTGGGTGTGTCAGAGGTGAGCGGTGTGTCGGCTCTGGTCACTTGGACGGTCAGTAACGCAGCCCCCAAAGTGAAGATGTACCAGCTCCAATACAACTGCTCTGACGACGAGGTGCTCATCTACAGGTACAGCACTTTATGCAGTAGATGTCTGTACTCTATGTGCTCTAGAGACACACTATTCTCTGTGTGTGCTGTGTCTAAGAAGCAGGGAGTGGCCAAATATCGCCTCAATGAAATTATATTCTAATTCTGGTACCAAAAGTCTATCCAAGAAAACGTGTAGGATTTGGTCTTGTTTCTATGATCTCGGTTAATATCCAGGTTTCAGTTGCATCAATAATGTCATAGGACTATTGACTGATGTTAATAGATTTATAACTCTTGAAAAAATGATACTATTGGAACCATTTTGTAAATATAGCTATTTTCAATCCCTTTCCTGGCATTCACATCCGGTGGACCAGCAGATGTTTAAAAGCTAAAGTATTAACATCCAATTGGTCCAGGCCTAATGTGACCCATGCATAAATAATCTCGACCATTACATTTAAGCCCACTCCTCTCAGGACATTCCCAATTCACTCATCTTTCATTCAGCAATGGGTATTACAACAATATTACTACAATACTACCAGCTGGAGACTCCAGAGGCTTATGGTCCTCCAGGACAATGTTCAGTCTAATTACTCACAGTAACATGTACTGTCTGACTTTAACGGCTGCTGTATGACATGTGTATGACATGTGTGTAACGTGTGTATGACATGTGTATGACATGTGTATGACATGTGTGTGACATGTGTATGACATGTGTGTGACATGTGTATGACATGTGTGTAACGTGTGTATGACATGTGTGTGACATGTGTATGACATGTGTATGACATGTGTATGACATGTGTGTACCATGTGTGTACCCTGGCCTGTGTGTACCATGTGTGTAACATGTGTGTGTTCTCTCCTCAGGATGATCGCTCCCTCTGCTCAGTCTTTCCTTCTCACTAATCTTGTGTCCGGGACACGCTATGACCTGTGTGTGCTGGCGGCCTGGGATGACACCGCCACCACACTCACAGCCACCAACGTAGTGGGCTGCACTAACTTCCTCACCCTGGACGAGTACCCGCAGTGCCAGGCGCTGCCCAGCCAGCTGCTGGGGGGCACCATGATCCTGGTGGTGGGCGGAGTCATTGTGGCCACGCTACTGGTCTTCATCGTCATCCTCATGGTGCGGTACAAGGCGGCGGAGGGAGAGGCCCTGGGGAAGATGGGGGGTTTGACAGACATACACACTCAGTCTAATGGGGGCCGCTTAGGGCCCAATGGTCTGGTCCTGCCCCCAGTGCGGGCTCCGGGGCCCTCTGGGCCCTCTGGGCCCTCGGGACACACAGAGAAGGCTGCGGTGACTGTGCGCGATGAAGTGGTGCAGTTTAAATGTGGCTCTCTGCAGAGCAGCCTCACCTCCTCCTCCTCATCCTCAGGATCAGCTCCTGAGTGCTCCACCAGCCCCAACAGCACCCTGGCTCACATCTGGAGGTCTGCGGCTCCGAAGCCCAGGAACCTGGACCACCTGCTGGGGGCTCTCACGGCTGTGGAGCTGCGAGGGCCGCAGCATAGAGACGCTGGGGGCCCGCCCTCTGTCAGACTGACAGGTCGTGTGGAGCAGGAGCCGCTGCTGGGGCGCACCCTGGACTCTCGCCTCAGCAGACTGCTGCTGCTGCCGCTGGAGCGGCCCAGACGCAGCCAGTCCTTCGACATGAGCGACTCGGGCGGTGCCCAGCGCTGCAGCCGCCCACGCCGCATCAGCCGCATCTGGACTAAGAGGAGTCTGTCTGTGAACGGCTCCCTGCTGCAGAGCGAGGACGAAGGAGACCCGGGGGACACCGGCACGCCTGACAGTGCAGACTGGGTCCTGGAGAGTACTGTGTAGTTCCAGAGGACTAGAGGACCGGAGACCAGAGGACCAGAGGACCAGAGGACCAGGGGACCAGAGGACCAGGGGACCAGGGGACCAGGGGACCAGGGGACCAGGGGACCAGAGGACCAGGGGACCAGAGGACCAGAGGACCAGGGGACCAGAGGACCAGAGGACCAGAGGACCAGGGGACCCAGGGGACCAGAGGACCAGGGGACCAGAGGACCAGAGGACCAGGGGACCCAGGGGACCAGAGGACCAGGGGACCAGGGGACTGCCAGTGCAGCAGTCACACATACATACATATATAATATATATATGTATATATTATATATATATATATATAAATATATAATATATATATATATGTATACATATATATATATATAATATATACATATATTGCAAATGTGTAAATACAAATGTATTTTATAATTTCATGTTTAAATGTTGTTTTTTCAATGTATTAATTTATAATATTTTTGAACTGATTTATTTTGACACTTCTTTTATACTCAACACTTCATGGTTTAGTTTTTCCTCAGCATCGAACTCTGTGGCCGTCTGTGCTTTATTCTTTGTTTCAACTAAAACAGGACATTTCTACTTTAACATTTTTCACCTCAAATGGACAAAGAAGAATGGATTATTTTGATGAGCAGATGTTTTGGACCCTCGGACTCTGGAGCCGTTGATGGTGCAGTGTATATTTAAATAAATGTGATGCTTTTTAAAAACATAAGGATTTGTTTTTGATGCTGTGGTGTTGGAGGCGGTGAGACATAACGACAGCTTCAGACAACAACCAAATATAAATGTTACGCTTTAGCAGGATTCAGGTTTTCAACCTTTTGTGCCTTTGACAAAAATATATAATTTGGGAAATTAGTAGTTTATGTTCAATGTTGATATTCTATGTTTTAAATGCCATAAAATAGTTACATTCATATTTTCAGTCCTAATAATCCTAATATGATTAATATTAGTAATAATAATGATTTATTCAACTGTATATTGTCCAATAATAATAATTTTGTCACATGATCTTCAGTGTTAAAGATCTATAACAATAAATCAGACAGATCTCTTTGACTTTGATCCTCTCTGGTTTATCAGAGTCAGATACAGGGATCGTCGCTGAACATGAACTCTTAAAACAAGTATTAAACTCCTAAATGTGAACACGAAGGATCCTGTTATAATCATGTAAAGCCAAAGACAACAGATGATTCTGATCCATGAATCCTCAGTGAGAGCTGCAGACACTGTCAAACTAACCCTAACGAAGCAGAATGATTTAGCACAATTTGTGGAACATGGGTAAAGGGAATATTCATTATGTGAAGTTTCCAACACGTCAGAACACGCCAGCACAATGGATCTGCTGCAGCCGGGAGCTCTATAGCGCCACCCAGAGGAACAAGGTTCACACTGAGAGGATCCAAGAACTCAGCAGAATCTTTATTTGATAATCCGTTATTTGTATTCATCAGTATATACAAACAGTATATGTATATATTATATACCATCAGTATCTATACAGTGTATATACCATCAGTGCATATACAGTGTATTTACCATCAGTGCATATACAGTGTATATACCATCAGTGCATATACAGTGGTGATTAGTCTGAACACCTCATAATTATATGCGGAGGAGCATGTGCTGTAATCCCATTACTGTAGTGATTCTCAAAGTGCGGTACTTGAGCTCAGTATTAGTGCTCCATCAGGTGAACAGTTGTTATGAAGTTTGGTATAATTGGTTTATTGCATTGGCCTACATGTTTATATTTATATAGTTATTATTTATTTACATGCTGCTGACTTAGACCCCGCTTAATACACTGTGTATAAGGACTTACTTAGAGGCAGTAAACAGTGGATAACTGCTGCCCTCTTCAGGACAGATTGAGTTACTGCATGGAAGAATGGGGCTGGCCTACAGCGCATGCGCAGAAGGGGCTTGTGGACGGTCAGCTGTGTCGGAATGTGGGTTGCTGGACAGCCTGACCGCAGCTGAGGGTCTGGGTGACAGTTGTGGAGGTGAGGGCCCTCTCTGCTTCTCTCCTTTCCACGCAAACACCGCGGAGCTCCGGAGGATGTCCTCAGCCGTGTGCCCGGAGCAGCGGCGCTGCCTGTCCGTGTTGTTCTACCGCGCAGTGCGGGACTTGAAGCCCGTGTGGATGCTAGAGGACATGCGGACCATGCTGGCTCTTTGCCCCGAGGACGAGGACAACCCTCAGAAGACCTACAGTCCGTCAGAGGCGCTGCTCTACGCCATCGTGCATGACCACCAGCCGTACGCCCAGTATTTACTCTCACATTTCTCCGAAGAGGCGCTGGTGGATCCCGGGGAGCGCTTCTGCAGCTGCCCCACATCAGCCCCGCACCTGTCTCTGGCTGTCCGCTATGACAGACCCTCCATCCTCAGCCTCATCCTGCAGGAGGCTCTGCGGCGGCCTGCAGGGGGGGCCCCGGGGCCCAGAGGGGGCTGTGTCCGAGAGGTGAGGATCCATGAAGGAAACACGTTTACATTTAAATCACAACAAAGTTGAACAGAAATTATCAACCGTTATTCTGCAACGTTGTGGAGGTAGACCTGGGCTGCTAACTTCCTTTATAGTTGTTAATACACATTGGCTTGTACTATGGGGCCTGTACCATGGGGCCTGTACCATGGGCCTGTACCATATGGACCACGGTCTATGGACTGCACCTGCAGTGATTACACTTGATACAAGCTTAGCCTAACTTATTGTATACACTGTGTTGCAGGGGAACGGCCGGACCCCCCTGCACCTGGCCTGTGAGCTGGTCCGTCCTGAGGCTGTGCTGCTGCTGCTAGGCAGTGGTGCGTCCCCTGAGGTCCCGGACGCACAGGGCTGGACCCCCCTGGACGTGCTGCTGGAGCCACTCAGAGACTGTGCAGAGGCCAGCAGAGCCCGACGCCACTGTTTGGACACACTGCTCATGTTTATGCCCAGGCTGCACTTCCATCTGCGGGCGGCGCTGCGCATAGAGCCGCAGCGCTGGACTGGAGCTCTGGGGAAAGACCATGTGCAGTTTCTGGCAGGACTCAGACCAGCGCCTCTTCTGCTCAGCTCCATGCAGACTGTGCTCCAGCAGCTCAGCCCCAGCAGCTTCTCTGACAGCCTGCTGCAGCTGCCCATCCCCTCCTCTCTCAAACCTGCAGGACTGTCCCGGGGCACTCACAGAACTCTGCACCGACAATAAAGGCAGTTATAGGAATGTTAGGAAACTACTTATTTAGAACTCAACAGCAGTGAACGCTACATTACATATGTATATGATTATTAACCGGTTATGCTACATACCAGGTCTTCACTGTCCAAACCGGGTTATCGGGTTACCTCAGGTCCAACACTGAATCTGTTTGATCATGTTTCCATATAGTCCTGACAAACACTTGTTTTCATTCCTGGTTCCTTGCGTCTGTGACAGTTGGGTGTGAATCTGGTTAGTCCTAGTTTATTACTGCTTTGGATTTTGCAGAGTCATATTGGTTTCGGTCTAAACTTGTATGTTAATGCTCAGACAATATTCTGGGATTTCCTGCTTCATAACAAACTGTGTTAAAAGTGGAGCATGTTCTGCACTTATCGAGCCCAGTGTTTTTAACCCAAGAAAAATCCGGCCCTTTAGACATTTAAGTGTATTTTAAGACTATTCTATATCTGCAAATGAGACGTCATGCTCTGTTCCCCTTTGTTTTCCTCTCAGCAAATTATGAGATCAAGTCAAAACACTCATAGGAGCCATATGTCTTTTTTTAATATTTATTTATAACTTTTTTATAGTTAAAACAACAATAACAACAACACTACAAACTGGCCAAAGAAACATTGATATTTGACAAACCAAGGTTCCAACACATTTAAAGTAGATAGCGTCCTTTTGAGTCTATTTGACTCTTAATACCCATTGCCTCCAGTGGCTTCTTCCAATTGTCTATGAAAAGCTATAATGTCCAAGTTTAATCCTTGTCATAAGATCTAAAATCAGTGACTTCCACAGAGAAATAGAAGGAGGATCATCGCCCACTTTACCATAATACTCTGACTATCATCATCTTTATTTTATATCTTTATTTTATTTATATACCGCCTTTTCACTGCAGATCTGAGTCTCAAAGCAGTTTACAATTGTTAATGTTTGGGCATTTGTCTCTCACTCCACACAGAGATAGGAGCGGGGCCAGTACAGGAGGCACATGCCAGAACTATTGGACATATTTATAGTGGTAGGGGAAACCGGAGTACCCGGAGGAAACCTACGCAGACACGGGGAGAACATGCAAACTCCACTCAGAAAGGCCCTGGTCCGACTGGGATTTGAACCCAGGACCTTCTTGCTGAGAGTCGAGAGTGCTATCCACTCAGCCACCGTGCGGCCCTTCATTAGTTATGGCTCACGTTTGTTTTGTTTCACTGAGACAGGGATGCTACCAAGTAAACACATTGGATTTCCCATAACCTGCTGAACTATGGCTTTTTAAGTTTGTAAGTGTGTGGAGTTATAGGAAATATGAGTTGTTGCTGTTTGAATTTTACCTTTTCAATGAACGACATGTTTTCTGTCATCTGTATTTATCAGAACCAAATATTGTTGGTCAAAAATTCTACATCATTCATGAACAAACGACAAACTCTTTGTGTTTTTGAGCCCACTATTTAAAAAAAAAGTATTAAAATCCTATTTTTCTACAGCCCTGAAAGACAACAGCAGACGTCTAAAAGGACTTTACATAGAAACAGGGAATAAAACAGTTTGAACACAGGAAATGTAATAATAACAAATGAATATGAGCCTTTTGTCCATAAATGTGAGAATATGTCCCAGATCAACCCTAACTGCTGACCTCAGAGGACACACTGAGCTGCAATGATTACTTGTATTCAAAATATAAACGTATTGGTTTCCTTCATAACTCCAGGTAACTCCAGGGCACAGGGCCAAACAACAGTAGTCACAGTTCATGTCAGCGAATACAGGCATGTTGTACCTTGTTGTAAAGCTCAGGAACTCTACAATTAATATGTACTGATATTTGTTTTTGATTGTGTCACAGAATTCCGTCTATGGTGCTAATGGAGCTGGTGAGATGGTAAACATTTTCAATCCGGGTTGTCGGCCCCTGGACAAGTCTGGTTTACTAAATAGCCGTCTTACAACCACCCAGAGACTTCTCCATCTCTGCTGCTGTGACCTGAAGCCTGATTAAAGGCTGATTAATACTATTATTAGCTTTTTAGAATGATCATTTTTATTTTTGCTGCTACTGGACACCTGAATTTCTCCAACGGGGATTAATAAAGTACTGTATCTATCTAAAAGGTTTTAGTGAAATTTAATTGATAAAAGGCAGTGTAGTTCTGTCACTTGTTCTATTACCTTATTGTTGTTGCTTTGAGAGACTCCTGCTAAGGCAGTCATGCATCTAAAAACAGCAGCTGATTAGCATCAGGCTTATGGCCCGTCCTGCTGGCCACCTCAGCCATCTGTGCCACAGAGAAGCAAATCCTTCAATCCGCTTTATCCAACCTCCCACTCACTAAGCTTTCACCGGCCGGTTACAGGTGTCATACGATTCTTCAGTAGCTGTGCGTCAGACGCTGAAACTGGACTCACTTATAGTTATTACATAGTTAGTATTTAAGAAAGCGAAAATGGGATGCTCGCCATCCAAAGGAAAGTTATTCTCCAAACCAGGAAATGGCTCTACTCTGGAAACCGCTCCGTTGGAAGAAGCACCTTTGGATTTTGTCAACGCTGGACCTGAAGAAAGAAAAAGTGTGGAGGGAAGTGTGTCTCCACCAACCGACAACGAACCTGCTCCGAACCCAGATCGTCACATTATTGACACAACAAACAATGATAAGGGAAATGAGATGGAGACGGCGCCTGAAACATCCAATGAACCCCAAGAAACTGATGCAGTGAAAGGGACGCAGAGGAAACCTAAAATGAAGAAAAAACAAAGATCAAACGGACAGCTGAGAAAGTCCTCTCCCGCTAAAGTGGACTTTCCCCCACACATGGTGAGAGCCCATCAAGCCGCCTATGCCTATCTCAACCCAAACATCTCTAAATTTGAAACATTACTAGAGTTATTGGACCAAGCAGCTCACACACAGCACTCTCTCCAACCCATGATGGCTGCTTTAGTCCTTCGTTTCGAGGAGATCAACCAGGCCTTAGAGGAGATGGCAGAGGAGGGGGAGTTGATGCTGAAGGAACATGGCGACTACATGTCTTTATCCTCTGGCATGATGGGTCCGCCTGTTATATCACCACTGAAATCAGGCGATGATACAGGCCCATCTCCAGACCTGCTCCAACAACTGCTCAGGCATTCCTTGCAAAAAATGAGGATTGTGGGGGGATCTTTCCAGACCGTGGGAGACTCTACTTTAGAAGACACTGTGGAGTACTTTGCGTCTCTCTCCAAAGTGTTGGTTAGAAAAATAATGGTCAAGCACGATCTAGAGCAACGGATAGCCACAGTTTTGGCTAAAGTGGAAGCAGCTGCTGTGAGGAAGGGTAACCCCGAGGATTCAGCTCTACACAGTGAGGACAGTGGCATCGGGGGTGAGAATGACAGCGTGACGGGGTCAGACCGACAAAGAAGACACAGAGGCAGTGCTGGGTCTAGTAGCAATGCATCTAGCGGCAACGTATGCGCAGTTTTACCCAGTAACAGAACAAACGAGTACAATGAGGAGGACGAGGACCTTGACGAGGATCTTGACGAGGACGATGAAGACATGCCAGTGCGAAAAAGGTCTAACTCGTCACCTCCAGACCCCAGCCAACCACTTCTGAACATGCTCAAGATGCAGAAGAAAGCGCATAGGCCGCAAACTGCACTCAATGGACTTGCTCAAAGCTCAGACAAGAGAAGACCTTTCACTGATCATCAAAGCAATCTGGACATCGCTGGGTTCCGAAGACATTCAGTGACAGGACCAGGCTCCAACCAGAGAGTCTGTAAAACCAACCCAGCCTTTGCATTTCAACGCCCAAAACCCCCGCCCTCAGTCAAGAAGCTGATCAACAACTTCAGCAATCTACCGGCAAACAGAAGAACAAGCAAGTCTCAAACCTGGACGGATAGCCAAGAAGATCCAGATGAGGACAATCTACCCCCACCCCCTCCAGAGGTACTGATGGATAATTCCTTTCACATCATCGAGAGTATGGCAGGCAATGAAAATCTAGCTCAGAATTCGGCTAAAGCCTTAAACAGAAGACAAGGATTATCCCAACGTATGAAGACGACAGTAGAACTTTTACCAAACAGAGCGAGTATCAAGACCAAAGGGTTCGATCTTGCTAACGTTGGTCCACAACAAGAGAGACATCAGAAAGAAGCAGGTCTTGATCCCGATAGTAGTCTGTACCAACAAGCACGTGCGATAATTCACATCCGGAGTGCGGCAGGACCTCTACAGCCACCCGTGAGGGGGGATAGCCTTGAGGGGGAGGCTCCGTTCTCTCCGCCCGTCACAGCACCACCAGTGTCCAGGGTGCGCTTGCCTCCAGTGGGGCACAGACACCCAAGTCCACCGGCGAGACCCCAGTCCAGCTCCTCTCGGCCCGGGTCTCCGAGGTCTATCGCTAGAGCCACGGACAACCCAGTGGAGCAGATTGTCCCCTCTGTGTCATTCAAGGATGCCCGCTCCGTCTTCTGTAAGAACGAACCACAGCGGCCATCTTGGACTTCGTGTGGGGCGTCGGTGCTTCCCAAACCGTGGGGAGAGAGCTCCAGAGGCCGGGCAGCGAGCCGGAGCACGGACTCCCCCCGCCGCGTACAGTCCGACCACAGGCCTCCCATCACCATCCGGAACGGGGGAGGCCGATATGACCATAGTGTGCCTGCTGCTGGCCACTAACAACTCCAATCCAATTTTATTTTTGTAAAGCCCTAAATCACAGCAGTAGTGATCTTTGCTGTAGTAACCCACGGGCAGAGACCAATGTCCATAAATGTTTATAAATGTTCATGGATCATCATCATCGTCCTTAGACCGTCCTGTATCGAGGACAAACTCTAAAAACAGTCTGAGAAAAGTAAACCCCAAACAAAGAAAACTTATTAATTACAGATGAGACGTATTTCACTTTCAGATTCACTTAAATCTGGGGTACCTCACTTTCCACCCTATGAATAATATATTTGGTTTGTCCCTTTTAGAAACTATTCCATATGGTTAAAAAAAGAGCCCTGCCACTCTTTGGGCTGAGAACTGATAGACTGAGTGAAATAATCAAAACTAGAGATAGAACCGAGTGAGGATCTAGTAACGTTCTGTAAACAGCAACTGATCATTCAGCTCAAAAAGTAATATTTCAATGGCTGCAACTTGTTCAAAAAAGGACACTGTAGAACATTTTTGAGAGGCACGGTGGCTGAGTGGTTAGCACTCTCACTTCTCAGCAAGAAGGCCCTGGGTTCGAATCCCAGTCGGAACAGGGCAATTCTGAGTGGAGTTTGCATGTTCTCCCATGTCAGCGTAGGTTTCCTCCAGGTGCTCTGGTTTCCCCTACCACTAAAAATATGTACAATAGGTCTGTGCCTCCTGCACTGGCCCCTCCCATCTCTGTGTGGAGAGAGAGACTAGTGCCTAAAAAAAATAACAATTGTAAATTGCTTTGTGACTCTGGTCTGAGAAAAGCACTATGTAAATAAAACTTACTTATAGAGTTTTAGATTCACCTTCTTCCATTACTATTCAATTTGGATTTGTTTATTTATTTCTAATTAACGCACAAGAAATTAAGAAAAAACCTGTGCATGGTTTAAAAAGTCATAAATCTTATTTGAATCCAATCCCAATTAAACTAATTGTACCAGGAACTTGACAATGTCTTCCAATTTAAATACAAAATTAGCATTCAGACTAAAAAGAATGTGTAAGTGACTTTATGACACTTTTTCTGCCCAAAGATGTGAAAACTAGTGATAGATCCAACCCGTTGTGAGACTGAGGAGTACATGTGTTTATTGTAAGATTGTTGTGTTTTGAAGGTTAGGTTCCCAAGCTTTAAGGATAAGATTCTGACTATGGTGAATTTAAAGTGGCCAAAAAGTGATCTCCTTCCACACTGTTAATCCGTTTATCCAACAGAGGTCAGCTGTGCACAAACAAACAAACAAACAACGGATCATGTTGTCTGTGGTCTTACAAGATACAAGAATTTATTTGCCATCTGCAGTAAAACCACATTGGAAAAACTGGGCAAGACTTTATCCTGTGTCTGCCAGAAATTCATACAAAAGTTTTTCACAAACAAATCCTAGTTTCTGTTTTGTTGTCTTTCATGTGTTCATGTGAGATTCTTGAAACTAGGCCTACACTTACACCAAAAAATATTAACATTATCCATCCATCCATTTTTTTCCCCTTAATCCATTTCTGGGTCGGGGGGGTGGCAGTCAGAGCTGCTCCCAGTCCACAGAGCACCAGCCCCTCACTGATCCTCCTGCAGGTGCTGAGTCCACAGGAGCTGAGATCTTTCAGTGGGGGCTTCAGGCAAAGTGGGGTTAAGTGTCTTGCCCAAGGACACAACGACAGCAGTCATCAGTGGGAGTCGTGAAGTAGGTCTTGAGGTGGACTCGAACCCACGACGTTCAGGCTCTAAGACCAATGCTCTACCAACTGAGCCACTGTCGCCCCTATTAACATAATGTTCTTGAATAATGTGGCTTATTTTTTGTATGTAATTTTTTAATTTTCATTTTTATTCGACGATGCTGCTGACTTTGTCTTAACAGCTCTGTTTGGAATGGGCTCAGAGTCAGTAAAGAGATAATTAAAGCATAGATTGTCCTAGTCTAACTAATGATGCATTTTTAAGTTAATTGCAGCCACAATTGTCTGCTCTTATGTATTTTGTGTTTGAACTATTTTATACATTAAAATAATCAACTACACACTATTTGTGTCTCTCTGTGAAGAAAGGAGAACACACATTTCACATGAAAAGGTTTCACATGGGGATAAGTGGCTGCTATAAAAGTAGATAATGCTTTATTACATTCTGAGCACGGATTAATACATCCACACAGTGCAGCAGGGTTTGTGAAGCAGTTTATTAGAGACAACATCGCCATCTACTGGAGAATTAAAGACATTGCTATCAATATCTATAATTTCACTGTTTTTTTCCAATACACAGCCCCAATGTCAGCTCAGACCTTATAGACCCATGGGTCAGACCTTATAGATCCATGGGTCAGACCTTATAGATCCATGTGTCAGACCTTATAGATCCATGGGTCAGACCTTATAGATCCATGTGTCAGACCTTATAGATCCATGGGTCAGACCTTATAGATCCATGTGTCAGACCTTATAGATCCATGTGTCAGACCTTATAGACCCATGGGTCAGACCTTATAGACCCATGGGTCAGACCTTATAGATCCATGTGTCAGACCTTATAGATCCATGGGTCAGACCTTATAGATCCATGTGTCAGACCTTATAGATCCATGTGTCAGACCTTATAGATCCATGGGTCAGACCTTATAGATCCATGTGTCAGACCTTATAGATCCATGTGTCAGACCTTATAGATCCATGTGTCAGACCTTATAGATCCATGGGTCAGACCTTATAGACCCATGTGTCAGACCTTATAGACCCATGGGTCAGACCTTATAGATCCATGTGTCAGACCTTATAGACCCATGGGTCAGATATCTTGTACATTGCATATGTTGATAGTTTTTGTTATTCTAAAGCAGAGATTTGTATTCATAAAACAACACCCTCTCCATACATGTATCTCCTGTAAGTTGGACTACTGTGATGGCCTTTCATACCTGTGTGATTGTGATTGTTGTGAAGCATAAGAAGAAACGTGTGTTTGAATTGTGCTAAACAAATAAACCTGCCTTGGCTTCTACAAAGCAGAACCCAAACACTATTTGACTCAACAAACAAAAACAAAACACTCTTTTACCTTCCGCTCCCTCTGTGGGCTCCATCGCACTTCACAGTCCAGGAGGCGGGGACTCCCTGGGGGCCAACATGGGCCCCTCGGGCTCCGTCCAGCAGCAGCTGACGTCACTACGCAGAGAGCTGCGCATTGTGCGCAAAGGGCTACGCGCTGAGGTTGGGTGTGAAGATGGCGGACGAGGAGGCCGAGATGGACCGTGGTCCAACTAACGATGTTAACGTGATTCTACCAGAACTAAAGCAGCGGCTGAAAGAGCTGCAGGAGACGGCGACGGCAGAGACAGAAGAGTCCCCTGTGCAGGCCTCGTCACGGTATTGTCAAGACTTCTGTGGGGTAAGTGAGCAGTGGAGCCTCCGTCTGTGGCTCCGCGGACTGTAGTGTGGAGCCAGGGGCCAGGGGCCAAGAGCTAGGGCCAGTCTGCTGCAGACTGAGCACACACTGTGGCCCTCTGGTCTCCTCTTTCACTGATACAGGAGCAGACTGTTGTGTTGTTAGGGTTAGCTTAGCTGCATTAGCTAATACATGTTAGCTTGCTGCTATCGACATATCTGCGTTCATGACGTCCGTCTGGACGTGGATTCTGTGACACAGGGTGTGATGGTGCTGGTGCTGTTCCTTTGGGTCGGAGGGTGAGAACATCTGGCTGCAGACCCCGTTATCCTCCGAGCCCCCAGTGTTTCTGTGTTTAGCTCCGTGCGCGTTCACGCCCGTGTCGGGGCCGCGCATTGTCTGCTGTTGGACTCGGTCATCGGTAAAGCCTTGTCTCCGTGTGTGACGCTCACGCGTGGGATGCTGCTCCCGTACGTGTCCGCGGTCCGTGTCTTTTCACGCATGTGTACGTGCGAAACGGAACGCACGCAGAGTCCGTGCACGTGAGGGCCTCCACGAGCTCTTCACACGCTCCAGTGCACGCGCATGGAAGTGCACTGATGGACACACACCCACCGTACACACTGTTGTGTCTGTATCATCATGGACACACACCCACCGTACACACTGTTGTGTCTGTATCATCATGGACACACACCCACCGTACACACTGTTGTGTCTGTATCATCATGGACACACACCCACCGTACATCATGGACACACACCTACCGTACACACTGTTGTGTCTGTGTATCATCATGGACACACACACCTACCGTACATCATGGACACACACCTACCGTACATCATGGACACACACCTACCGTACACACTGTTGTGTCTGTGTATCATCATGGACACACACCTACCGTACACACTGTTGTGTCTGTGTATCATCATGGACACACACCTACCGTACTTACACTGTTGTGTCTGTGCTTCATCATGGACACACACACCTACCGTACACACTGTTGTGTCTGTGCTTCATCATGGACACACACACCTACCGTACACACTGTTGTGTCTGTGCTTCATCATGGACACACACACCTACCGTACACACTGTTGTGTCTGTGCATCATCATGGACACACACCTACCGTACACACTGTTGTGTCTGCATCATCATGGACACACACACCTACCGTACACACTGTTGTGTCTGTGCTTCATCATGGACACACACACCTACCGTACACACTGTTGTGTCTGTGTATCATCATGGACACACACCTACCGTACTTACACTGTTGTGTCTGTGCATCATCATGGACACACACCCACCGTACTTACACTGTTGTGTCTGTGTATCATCATGGACACACACCTACCGTACATCATGGACACACACCTACTGTACACACTGTTGTGTCTGTGTATCATCATGGACACACACCTACCGTACACACTGTTGTGTCTGTGTATCATCATGGACACACACCTACCGTACTTACACTGTTGTGTCTGTGTATCATCATGGACACACACCTACCGTACACACTGTTGTGTCTGTGTATCATCATGGACACACACCTACCGTACTTACACTGTTGTGTCTGTGTATCATCATGGACACACACCTACCGTACTTACACTGTTGTGTCTGTGTATCATCATGGACACACACCTACCGTACACACTGTTGTGTCTGTGTGTATCATCATGGACACACACCTACCGTACACACTGTTGTGTCTGCATCATCATGGACACACACACCTACCGTACACACTGTTGTGTCTGTGCTTCATCATGGACACACACACCTACCGTACACACTGTTGTGTCTGTGCTTCATCATGGACACACACACCTACCGTACACACTGTTGTGTCTGTGCTTCATCATGGACACACACCTACCGTACACACTGTTGTGTCTGTGCATCATCATGGACACACACCTACCGTACACACTGTTGTGTCTGCATCATCATGGACACACACCTACCGTACACACTGTTGTGTCTGTGCATCATCATGGACACACACCTACCGTACACACTGTTGTGTCTGTGCATCATCATGGACACACACCCACCGTACTTACACTGTTGTGTCTGTGTATCATCATGGACACACACCTTCCGTACATCATGGACACACACCTACTGTACACACTGTTGTGTCTGTGTATCATCATGGACACACACCTACCGTACACACTGTTGTGTCTGTGTATCATCATGGACACACACCTACCGTACTTACACTGTTGTGTCTGTGTATCATCATGGACACACACCTACCGTACACACTGTTGTGTCTGTGTATCATCATGGACACACACCTACCGTACTTACACTGTTGTGTCTGTGTATCATCATGGACACACACCTACCGTACTTACACTGTTGTGTCTGTGTATCATCATGGACACACACCTACCGTACACACTGTTGTGTCTGTGTGTATCATCATGGACACACACCTACCGTACACACTGTTGTGTCTGCATCATCATGGACACACACACCTACCGTACACACTGTTGTGTCTGTGCTTCATCATGGACACACACACCTACCGTACACACTGTTGTGTCTGTGCTTCATCATGGACACACACACCTACCGTACACACTGTTGTGTCTGCATCATCATGGACACACACCTACCGTACACACTGTTGTGTCTGTGCATCATCATGGACACACACCTACCGTACACACTGTTGTGTCTGTGCATCATCATGGACACACACCCACCGTACTTACACCTACCGTACACACTGTTGTGTCTGTGCTTCATCATGGACACACACACCTACCGTACACACTGTTGTGTCTGTGCTTCATCATGGACACACACACCTACCGTACACACTGTTGTGTCTGCATCATCATGGACACACACCTACCGTACACACTGTTGTGTCTGTGCATCATCATGGACACACACCTACCGTACACACTGTTGTGTCTGTGCATCATCATGGACACACACCCACCGTACTTACACTGTTGTGTCTGTGTATCATCATGGACACACACCTACCGTACATCATGGACACACACCTACTGTACACACTGTTGTGTCTGTGTATCATCATGGACACACACCTACCGTACACACTGTTGTGTCTGTGTATCATCATGGACACACACCTACCGTACTTACACTGTTGTGTCTGTGTATCATCATGGACACACACCTACCGTACACACTGTTGTGTCTGTGTATCATCATGGACACACACCTACCGTACTTACACTGTTGTGTCTGTGTATCATCATGGACACACACCTACCGTACTTACACTGTTGTGTCTGTGTATCATCATGGACACACACCTACCGTACACACTGTTGTGTCTGTGTGTATCATCATGGACACACACCTACCGTACACACTGTTGTGTCTGCATCATCATGGACACACACACCTACCGTACACACTGTTGTGTCTGTGCTTCATCATGGACACACACACCTACCGTACACACTGTTGTGTCTGCATCATCATGGACACACACACCTACCGTACACACTGTTGTGTCTGTGCTTCATCATGGACACACACCTACCGTACACACTGTTGTGTCTGTGCATCATCATGGACACACACCTACCGTACACACTGTTGTGTCTGTGCATCATCATGGACACACACCTACCGTACACACTGTTGTGTCTGTGCTTCATCATGGACACACACACCTACCGTACATCATGGACACACACCTACCGTACACACTGTTGTGTCTGTGTATCATCATGGACACACACCTACCGTACATCATGGACACACACCTACCGTACACACTGTTGTGTCTGTGTATCATCATGGACACACACACCTACCGTACATCATGGACACACACCTACCGTACACACTGTTGTGTCTGTGCTTCATCATGGACACACACACCTACCGTACATCATGGACACACACCTACCGTACACACTGTTGTGTCTGTGCTTCATCATGGACACGCACACCTACCGTACATCATGGACACACACCTACCGTACATCATGGACACACACACCTACCGTACATCATGGACACACACACCTACCGTACATCATGGACACACACCTACCGTACATCATGGACACACACCTACCGTACATCATGGACACACACCCACCGTACATCATGGACACACACCCACCGTACATCATGGACACACACCCACCGTACATCATGGACACACACACCTACCGTACATCATGGACACACACCCCCCCGTACATCATGGACACACACACCTACCGTTCATCATGGACACACACCCACCGTACATCATGGACACACACCCACCGTACATCATGGACACACACACCTACCGTACATCATGGACACACACACCTACCGTACATCATGGACACACACACCCACCGTACATCATGGACACACACACCTACCGTACATCATGGACACACACACCTACCGTACATCATGGACACACACCTACCGTACATCATGGACACACACACCTACCGTACATCATGGACACACACCCACCGTACATCATGGACACACACACCTACCGTACATCATGGACACACACACCTACCGTACATCATGGACACACACACCTACCGTACATCATGGACACACACCCACCGTACATCATGGACACACACCTACCGTACATCATGGACACACACCCACCGTACATCATGGACAAACACACCCACTGTACATCATGGACACACACCCACCGTACATCATGGACACACACCCACCGTACATCATGGACACACACCTACCGTACATCATGGACACACACACCTACCGTACATCATGGACACACACACCTACCGTACATCATGGACACACACCCACCGTACATCATGGACACACACCCACCGTACATCATGGACACACACACCTACCGTACATCATGGACACACACACCTACCGTACATCATGGACACACACCCACCGTACATCATGGACACACACCCACCGTACATCATGGACACACACCCACTGTACATCATGGACACACACCC